TTTTAAAATTTTATTTATTATAATTGAATATTAATTAATTATATGTAAAAAATTTATTTTTTTATATTAATTAGTGAGGAATGGGGATCCTCACGGGGTCCTCATTCCACGCAGGGACGGGGACGGGGACGGGGACGGGGACGGACTCCCCAGCCCCGTGGGACCCTATTGACATCCCTAAAGTCGGTTGTGTAGAGTTGGCTCTAGAACTTTAAGCCGATGGTGCTGACAATTTTGCAACTTGAATTAAGTGACTTGCAGAGCATTTAATGACCCCTAACGGCTAAAAACAGCTATTTTCGAGCATGGGACTACAAATATGATTGGTAACAGATTTGGAACAAGTTTGGAGAGCATTGTATTGAAGATCTTTGCCTACCAACTAGTGCTTTAACTTGAGTTTTTGATCTTTGAGAGATCTTTATTTGTAATCCTCTTATTGTTCTATTTGTGAATGATATTGAGGGTGTGATTATTCTTTCAAGAGTGATTTATAGAGAAGATTGTTGGGGTTTAAGTGTAAAGGAGTGAGATTTGAGAGAAACACCATTTTTCTTGTAAAAAGATTAAATGGTTCCTTTAAGCCACCATTGTTTTTCTTAGTTGAGAGTTGGAGAAAATCCTTTATGAGTAAAGTCAAGGTAGAGGATTAGACTTCAAGTAGTTGGATCAAACCTTTATAAAAATAATTGTGCAAATTTTTCTTCTCTACTACCTCTTTAATTTTTGTTTAGTGGTTATAAAGAGATGAAAATTTTTCAACTCCAATTTACCATCTTCTTGAAGTGCATTGAATCAGCAAATATCTTATTTAAAAGACTAAACTCTCTTTATTCATATAAAAAGATTATTGATTAAAAGTTATTTTTTATTGTTCTATTTAAAAAAAAAGAACAAAAACAGTTTTATGCACCTAAAATACAAAACAGTGAAACAAAGCTCCGGGTTTTGAACAAAGCTACGGGTTATTAATTATTAATTTTTTATTTAAAAATATTAATTTCTTATTTTTTATTTAAAATATTAAATTTATTTAAAAAAATATATTATCATGTTAATATTATTATTTAATTAATTTTTAAATAAAATAAATTAAAAATTAATAAAATTAATATTTTTAAATAAAAAAATATAAAATTAACTTTTTTCTTTACATCTTTTCTCCTACTTTATCAATAATGCTAACCCAAGGATCAGTATTGACTTGTTCAAACTTCGAAGTAAAAAAACAAAAGCATCATTGTACACGGATTTGACTATCGTGAAGGCCCGAAGGAAAAAATGTCATGGCGATTCTTTTCATATGAAAAGGCATTTGTTGGAGACGCG